GCTTGTAGGTACTTTAGTTGTTTTCACTGTAAGATAATCAATATGTTTTATCAATTAAGATTAATTTGACTTGGCTAATGCATGTATATGTTGATCTGGCCTAATAAATGACTTATTGACTTATTTTACTTGACTCGAAAATGCCACAACACTTCTGGGGTGATGCTTTGCGATCAGCTGTGTATTTAATAAATCACAGACCTACTGCAACTCTAGACAAAAATGTTACACCTGCTGAAATATGGTATGGATATAAACCTGATCTGGCCAAAATCAAACTCTTTGGTTGTGTAGCGTACTGTCATGTCGATAAGGAACTTCGGAAGAAGCTGGATGACCGCAGTTCAAAAATGATCATGGTTGGTTATGCAAACAATGGTCATCGTTTATGGGACCCTGTGAAAGAAAAAGTCATCCTAGCTAAACATGTCAAGTTCTTTGAAAATGAGCTGTACTATGATGTGAAAGACAAACAAGACATTCTACAGTTTGAATCTTCAATCTACATACCTGATGTATACTCGAATGACAGTGATAGAGAAGTTGAAGGTAATGTTAATCAACTGCATGAAAATCCTGAAATTGAACAAGGTGGAATCTTTCAAGAACCAGAGGTCAATGACTATCACCTCAATGAAACACAAGAAAATTTAAGAAAGTCGACAAGGCAAAAGAAACTACCTACATGGCTGGATGAATATGAGGTAAATTATGTAGCTGCTTATTCTGTGGATGAAATTTTGAACGATGGACCAAAGACTTATGAGGAGGCAGTTCAAGATGAAGGATGGCGTAGTGCAGTGAATGAAGAATTAAACTGTCTACACAGAAACGAAACTTGGGATTTGTTTGAAACTCCTAAAGACGCTAAAATAATTGATTCTCGGTGGATTTTTCGGGAAAAATCTGTTAATGGCAACCTAGTTAAGAAAGCACGGCTTGTTGCTCGCGGATTTCTTCAGGGGGAGATGTCATGTGAAGAAATATTCGCTCCTGTAGCACGCATGATAACGATAAGAACTTTACTTTCATTTTCTGAAAAATCAGTTGTTAACTGAATAAGTACGCATGAAAGGTGAGTTTGGTTCAGTGGTACACGATACTGCTGTTTTTGTTGGACAAAAGAAACAAAAGTTCTTTAAGAAATCTAAATTTTCGGTTAAAGAAAGTGAAGACACAACACAGCAACAGTAACAGGTGTGAAGCCAGCAGCGCCCATTGGTCATTTTGAGTTAAAAACCATTGAAATCGATTGTTTATCGTTTGTTTAGGTTGGTTTAGCTATTTTCGTCGTTTGTTTGGCCATAGTTGCTTAAGAATTAGAAAAAAGTGGGTACTGCTGGTGTGATAATAGCAGCGCCCGTCATTTTGAGCTAAAAACCATTGAAATCGTTTGTTTGGGTTTGTTTAGCTATTTTCGTCGTTTGTTTTGCCATAGTTGCTTAAGAATTGGAAAAGAGTGGGCGCAGCTCGTGTGAAGGTAGCAGCGCCCATTGGTCATTTTGAGTTAAAAACCATTGAAATCGATAGTTTATCGTTTGTTTAGGTTTGTTTCGCTATTTTCGATGTTTGTTTGGCCTTAGTTGCTTTTAAATGTTAACATTTTTATTTATAGATAACAACAAAGTTACGAAGCGATGTTAAGTGTTATCTATATGTATAAAAGAGGATGTTGGTTTTTATATTTGTATATTTGCCATTGATAAACTCAAGACACCGCTGGACCGATGGCCACGAAACTGGGTACATAAATGTAAATTTTCACGGAATGATGAAATTTGGTATGAACATGTAAACCTACATTTATTCGAACGAGTTCGCGAACCAGCATGATCGGACTATGGGAACGGGGGTTTATGGGGTTTTTTTTGGGGTAAAAATAGGGTTTTCCCATTTTCGACCCTTAAAACACAAAATTTCACAATTTCTTTCCAAACCATCTTGTAGAGCTTAAAAAAAATCATTTTGTATATTGAAGCGTTATTGTGCGCCTAATGGTTACGGAGAAAATTCCAAAATTTAAAATTCCCATGTTATTTTTATGGGGAATAAATCAACTGTTGTAGTTTGCTTGTTAATGAACATATTTTAATGGAATTTGGAAAATAAATTAATTTGTTCCTAAACTATTAACATTTTACAACAAAAAACACTTTTTTACCCTCCCTGTTGCAGCAAACCTAAGTACTCCTTAAACTAATTTTATTTAAATAGGGAATAAATGTGGTATATTTTAGTGTAAATCCAATTTTAGTGTTGATCCTAGACAATAAGTTGTTATGGGATGATCAAATTGCAGTGACATGCAGCAAATTATCAAGAGTTGTACATTTATTAAGGAATTTGAAGGTAAATGTTCCCAAACAATACTTAAAAGTAGCCTTTTTGCATTTTTTCAAAGTATAATTTTATACGGCCTAAGCCTATGGGGCAGTGCAACTGATGTTAAAAGTATCTTAACTACTCAAAAGAAGGCAATTAGGTTAATATCTGATGCTTCTTATGACGCACATTGCAAACCCTTATTTGTATTTGAGAAACTGATGACTGTTTACAGCTTGTTTATTTTTGATATTTTAGTTAAGTGTAACCTCCCCTATTTTTGTTGAACAGATTGTAAATTAAATAAAATGTTAACAAAAAAATTTCCACACAGCTGGTTCCAACATATTAAATACTGCAAGAATATTAGAACAGAAAGGGTATAAAAAATTATGTCATTCGCCCGAAGGTAAACATTATTTAACATTACTTAAATGGAACTGTCAAACCATATGTTGATGTCATTAGTATAAGCAAAGGTTGGACATAGATAAAACATCCTTTCAGTTACATCATTTGTTTATGTTTATTATCCATACTGAGAGTCTCTTCTAATAATTTGTGAAATGCGGTAATTGAGATTATTAATGGATATAGGAAATAATTGAGATTCTATAATAATTGACCTAGGCTCTTATCCTGAGTTTTATGAAAATTAATTTTTAGATATATTTTTGTGTAAACAGTAATAAAATACGAGTCGCAGCAAACCTGCAGACTAAGCGAATTTCCGAGCGAATGTTTGGATCTAACCTAACCTAAAAACATGTTGTACAGTGTTTGAAAGACTAATTATATGCTTTATAGCAACTGTCGGAAAAATATAATGTGTAACTAGAGAAACCTTACTATTCCGTTTAGCGACACGCGGTTGAGCGGGATGGGCTTTTACCGCATTGACATTACCCTGTCACCCCTTCCTGCTCTACCGGAATTTACTTCGAGTGAAGAGCGCGAGCATCACATGCTGATCACTGTTGATAGCGACAACAGTAGGGATAAACGCACAGCACAACCGGATGGTGTGGCTGCTCTCATTTAACTGCATGTGTTTCGCTTTTTATCCCATCGTCCCGCTAAGCCGCAGCAGCAAGCCCCCATCAAAACCCATGAGTTTAAGTCATCCCCCCAAACGGCTCCCGTTTCCCCCAAATGGCTCCCGTTTGACCGGACCGGCGAAACCGGATAGTGTGGCACCAGCCTTATGTTTAAGCCTTAAACAAATGACTATCCTGGTCCAATATATAAACATTATTCACAGAAGTAAAAGTTTGAACAAAAATAAGAAAAAGAAAATAACATTAATAACATTGTGGGTTCACTCAAACTTTAGACACCCCGTAACATAGTAAATTTAGTTACAGTTAAACATGTTCAATTTTCTTCAGACTTCTTCCAACAATTCTTGGGGAACGAATTTTCTGTTGTTTTGCCAAGATTGAATGCCAGTGCTCCAGGAACATTGATTAGAGATTTTAGAAATGAAGGTCGAGGTAGATTCAACTCCAAGCTCTCCGTGTACAGCATTCCTCAACTATTATAAGAATTTTGTTTTGGATCACTTGAATTTAGAACAGTTAATTTTTTTAAATTGCTAATTCCCAGATAGGTAATATATGTTATTAAACGTTGAATTATTAGTTTTAGATTAAATACTAATCAAAGAGAAAAGCTTATTTTGCAAGGCTTTAATTTTTATAACCTTGGGAAAGTCTTTTTTTACTTAAACGGTAGTTGTTCCAATTTAGTTTTGTATCCAGCCATACTCCTAGGTATTTAATGGCCCATCAGGCCATTACGTTCATCAGGGTTCCACAGTAGAAAATTACCATATATTTGAATTTCATGTGGCAAAATGCATAGGGTCACACAAGCATTATATCTACAAGAACTCAGCCAACAACAACAACGCTAAAATAGATCATAAATAGTGAAAATGGCATGTTTTAACGTTTTTAACTTAACATTTAAACTTTTCAAGCTCTCTTTCAATATTTTTGTAGCAGATGTTTATGATGGAACCTACCCAGGAATCTGGTCAATGTTTGTGACCTGATATAGTAGTAGTAATGTAGTAATGGAAATGTAATGTATATTTTTTTATAAAAACTAAAACAGCTTTAACATACTTAAAAAATTCAACACTGAACGGCATAAGAATCTTTATATTTCTTATAGTTTTCTGTATCTTTATCTTTATGTTCTGCTAATTTTAGACACTATGGAAAACTTTAAAACGTATGAAAAAAATGTTATAAGTAGTAATCAACTTATATTATCCACATATTGCGATGGTTATTAATTGTTTCTGTAAGGAATCTTATTTTATTTTTACTTTAAAAAAACCCGAATAAAAACATTTGTTCTGGACAATAATTTAAAGGTATCACACTACATCAACACAACAGTGAAAATCAATATAACTCCAGTAGCACAGCAGTAGCTGTAGTCAATGATTCAAAATACATCTTCCCTAAGCATTTTGGTGATTATGCACAATCTATACAAAATTATTACCAGTAATTCTAATTGTAGAGTTAAACATCTAAGAATCGGAAATCATCATGACTGTGCCATCTTACAAAGTACTAATCCTCAATTTCATCATAACACGTTTTGTAGAAAGTAAAACAAACTTGGTTAAAATGGATAGCTAGGTATTCATAAACATCTCAGAGTATCACAGGTTACAATTTACTGAACAAAAGGACATCAATTGAAATTAATAGTAACTACACTACAGTAGGGGCCACGAGAGTCTGCAGATGGCGGCAGCCAATAGAAAGACTGGACATTTACTGATTTTTGACACTAATAAAAATATACTAAACAGTATTTTCAAATCAGCTGGTATTATTGGCAACAACAAGCGGTCCTCATTGTCTCCTTTGAAGTCACGTGGTAAATAGGCTCCTCCCTTAACTGCAGACTCTCGTGGACCATAGGCCTACTGTAATGGAAATGTATTCATCTCAGAAAAGGTACGTTAGAGGTTAAGTTTCTTTCATTATAGCCTGCTAACAAATTACAGTACAAAATATAATAACAAGTACAACCTAATACAGTTTTTATTTTAAAATCAATATTTAAATTTGGTTTTAAAACTCATTATTTTTGTCTGTTTTTACAGGTTGTTTTCAAAAACTGAGCCCCATTCAAAACATGTTGATATTTATTCTCTAAGAAAATTATATTGGCATAAAGATCTTTAGTGGTGTTATGGATCATTCTGGAACACTCTTTCAACAACCATAAAAATGATGATTGAAAAGTTTTCTTTGACAACAAATCAAACTCATCCAGAGTTAAGTCATTTTTGCTAAGTTTAGTGTGGCAGAACCAGTATTGAGAACATGTTCTATGAATATCAAGCTGTCTACTGTACAGTTCAAACTGGGCATCATTGCTTTCTGGCTCTTGTACGGTGTTCTCTACTTCTTTTTCTTCTTCATCACTGTCATCTGAGACTATCTCCTTCACAAAACTGAGCTGAGTTTCGTCTACCTCAATAGGCAAGCTATCTCTCCGTGTTTTAGCAGGTTTTAATTTTTTTACAACACCAGCCTTAACATTTAACTTGTTGATCCCGTGGCGAGGAATTGCTTGATTATCTCTGGCCCGTAGAGCGATATTTTCTACTTTGAAAGTGGCTGCAGCTCCGTCCAACTGGATTATGTTCAAATCATTCACCATTCCAATTCCAGCTAACCTAAAAACAAAAACTACAATAAATAATTGTAAAATTAGAAAAGTTAAATTATTTGAAGGGAGGAAACTAAAATTGTTAGGCTGGATAAAAACATCACAGTTTCAGGAAAGACACAAGTTACACCAGTTAAATAACAATAAACTTCAATGTTTAACCAATTCTTTAACCTACAGCATCCTGTAACTAGGCCTACTGTATAGTAAACGGGCAGATACAGTAAACGGAACTGAACTTTTTTCTTCCCAAATTCCAACAACCCAAAAAAGAAGTTTAACATTAACATTATATTTTGTTGTTTAACTGAGCAAAATATTGAAACAAATTTGTAAATACACAGTAGCTCTTTATACAAGCTTATAGATGTATAATACAATAAGCAGTAAAAATTCATTAATAATTCAAGACAGATACATAAGATTAAGAGGCAGTCGGACAGAGATTCTCGGCTGTCGACACTGGACGTAAATTTAACATGGAGCGCATACTATAATTCCTCAATTTCTCGTCTATCTGTGTTTAAAAAATTATTTCACACACTCAAAACATTGTAAATGTATGTAGGATTAAGACTGTATAATATAAAAATCATACTTTTTAATTATAAGCCAAATATAAAATAACTCATTTCTTACATTTCCCGGAATTGCAATAATTTCTGCTATAATATAAAAAGATTGGCACTCTAAACAATTATAGTTTGAACGCCATATTAAAGAGCATATATTAATAAGTGTATTCACTGATATAAAATAATTTTGTTTGATGGTTAACATTATGTTTTGCATTTTTTTTTAAAAAGCTTGCAAGCAGTGGCGGTTCTAGGACCTTGTCAAGGGGGGGGCAACCGGGGGGGGGGTTTGGGGGGTGCTCCACACCCCCCAACACAACAGGGGGTCCGGGTCGCTCCCGGTAAATTTTGGAATTTTTAAAGCAGTTTGATGACTTTCTAAAGCCATTTTTAACACCTAAAACCGTGCCCAATTGTCCATAAACTCCACCTGTCGTTTGTCATGAGCAAATAGGCATTTTAAAAATTAAATTATGACGATTACATTCATGAACTTCAAAACACACTGTAGACTACGGCCATATACTCCTAAAAGCTGTTTACTGACTTTCTAAAGCCATTATTAATGTCTATATCTGTGTCCAACTGTCCAAAAACCTCCCATTTCACCTGTTATTTGTAGACATTAAAAAATCAAACTATAACGAACTTGCATTCATGAATTTCAAAACATAGGCCTATACTGTAGACTACGAAGCCATATCTCTTAAAAGCCGTATGGCGACTTTATAAATCCATTTCTAACGACTAGAACTGTGCCCAATTGTCCTAAAACCTTCCATTTCACCTGTTATACAGTGTGTAAATTAAGTATGGAAACAAATCTGTATTTTTAAAACCGAAATAGATAGAAATATTCTATTTGTGGCAATAATAGTTAACAAAGATTCCGCAATTTTTCACATGAAAAATATTTTTTTACCCCCCTAACAGGGTAGGTGGTAGGGGGTGACTTATTTTTTTCAAATAGCAACCCCTATTGAGTGACCCCTCATTTTGAAGAGTTTGTCAAAAGAAACACAATGGCGCAAATCCGAGGTGAATATCTCACTCCTAGCCCAAATGGCGGATATTCCAAAATTTGATTTATTGTACGTGAAAAGCACCAATTTCACAAATAATGGAAAGAAATCTGTATTTTTAAAACCGAAATAGATAGAAATATTCTGTTTGTGGAATTGATTTTTGACATAGGTTCCGCAATTTTTTTAATCAACAATATTTTTTCAACCCCTTTAACAGGGTAGGGGGTGGGAGTGACTTATTTTTTTCAACAACAACCCCTATTGAGTGACCCCTCATTTTGAAGGGTTTGTTAAAAGAAAAAGAATGACGCAAACCCGAGGTAGATATTTCACCCCTAGCCTAAATGGTGGGTAATGAAAAATTTAATTTTTGTAAAAAAAAGCCCATTTTGGAATATCCGCCATGTTAGCTAGGAGTGAGATATTCACCTCGGATTTGCGTCATTGTGTTTCTTTTGACAAACCCTTCAAAATGAGGGGTCACTCAATAGGGGTTGCTATTTGAAAAAAATAAGTCACCCCCTACCACCTACCCTGTTAGGGGGGTAAAAAAATATTTTTCATGTGAAAAATTGCGGAATCTTTGTTAACTATTATTGCCACAAATAGAATATTTCTATCTATTTCGGTTTTAAAAATACAGATTTGTTTCCATACTTAATTTACACACTGTATGCTATGCAAGCAAGTAGACACGTTTTTTAACCTTACCTTTTTCTCCATTTCATAGATCTGTCACAGTATGTATAGTATCGAATTCAGTAATAGCATTGACTATATAAACTTTAACACTAGTGTTTAAATAGTCAATGGTAATAGGCTACTGGTGCTACCGCTGATTGCTGATTGATGCCTGTGTAAAGTGGCTAGCAGACAATTTGACAACTAACTATGGAAGATCAGGAAATCAGCTGTTTCCCCGTCCTCGCTCGCGCGCTCGCCTTTGCCCAGCGACCACAGTTGCCCTAGCATGTCAACAGCTGACTGCTGTAAAAATTGGATGATCCGAACAACTTCCCATAGCGTTATATTGTTTAATTCGTTGTGCTATTGTCCACAAAGTTTATCTATGCAAAACTTAATACTACTCCTGCCATCGCTTATTAAGTTTAATAAAAACTACTTTGATGATGTCTGTTCAATGACATTGCGTGTTTTAAGGACGAAATGTACGTTTAAATTTATTTTTCCAGGGTCCAAGGGGGGGGCTTTATCCCCTGTAGCCCCCCCCTTGGAACCGCCACTGCTTGCAATTAAGCCGTGCTTACCGACCATCTACTAGTTCAACGATGTCCCGGCCGACAGCAGCACAGTCGATTGCAAACTACAGGCCAGTTACCGAGTAAGCGTGGTAAATCTATTCATTTAAACTGGCCACAGTTTCACTGAGCTATGTGTCGTTATGTTATTATATCCCTGATGTATTACAAAGCCAATCAAGTTCTGATATTTATTTCTCAGGCATCTTAGTCTAAAATATTTTCGGACTGTGTATTTATCTATATAAATAAAATTAGTGTTTTGTCTGTACATTGCTCAGAATTAGAAATTTTTAGGTTAATTTTACGTTTTATACATTAAAGAAGACGAAACGAGTCTATCTATATTTCTGTCTGTCTTTCATGGCCCAAGAGGCATTTTACGCGGTCTTCTCCTGAAAAACGAGAGTACCTATCAAGATTCAAATCTTTTTTTTAATGTATTCACTAGTTTGGTGAGAGTGTTTTTTACCCATTAAAATATGGCCTCACCACTTTGTAAATAAAATGACGGACGTTCAAAAACCCAATTTTGTGCGATTTTTTGTCAAGTTTTCTCCCAATGTTTATCACATACAGTAATCATCGATGAAATAACAAAAATGAACAGCTGTTCAGATAAAGATTATTTTTTCTAGCTGTCACTGATATGTTAACATTAAATATTGTTTACAAATACCACAACCATTTTCGATCTAAAAATCTAAAAGAGGTGCTAAACATTACTTTTGCATAGTAAACATTTTTTTTGCGTAGTAAATCATGTAATGGTGAATATTCGCAGGTGATAAACACTTTTTTGTCCTACGCACAGTAATGAAGCGCAAATGATTACGCGGTAATGATTATATACGAATGGTCTGTAAATAATTCTGACCAGCTGGTTTACAGCCTATGCATAAGGACACATTCTTGCATTTTAAATGTGAAAAACTAATTTGTAACGTAAACATTTCATTGAAAGTTTGAGACCAGCAATTAGTTAAACCAAATTAAATTGTACTGAAACAATATGGAGTGAGGTAATTTTCGCAGTTACATATCAAACCTTACTACAAAATATGCTATCAATAGATCGATCGTGAGTTAAGCAACTCTTTTGGTAATGATATCTATTTATTCCATTCCTTGATGGACTTTTGTATTAACTTCTTAGCTGTGTAGATGCTTAAAAATGTGTTAGAAGGATAGTAATAAATATATCGTTATGTTTTTACTACAAACACATTTGGGATAGTGGTTATATCATTGAGCCTAATAGCCGTATGTTCTATATGATTGACTTCATTGTCTTGTGTTTTATTATCAAAGTTTTTGTGTAGTATAAAATGTTTTGGTGAAATAGTGATTAGCATTTCCATACCATATTTACGATGTCTAGGAAATCAGCATATTGGAAACGTCATGGTGACGAACTGAGACGCAGAGGGTAGGTGAGTGAAGGTAGCAAGCAGTGAAAGTGAAACATGCGGTTGGACAATAGATAAGGAGTTGGACACTGGCTGAGGGTAGCCGAGTTGACGATTTCTAGTTTCTAGGTCACACAGGGTTGTCAAAAATTGCAGCTCCCGCCATTCGACAGCCACGAAACTGGTGGCCAAGGGTGGTACTATTACAAAAGTCTGTTTTGGGAGAACTGTGTTGTTGCTGGTAACGCCTGCAGAATGTGGAATACCACGGGCTGACTCCGACCGCCTCTTAAGCCAGTGAGTGTATGAGATTTGAAGCGCCCCACCCCCAACAAACCTGTCTGGCTGGGTGGTGTAGGTTAGGGACTGTCTGGTGTAATCCTCGGCCAGTATGTGTCTGACTGCAGACACTCGCTCAGCATGCTGGGTCAGCAGATGCTGTGTGGCACTGTACAGTGGTGTCAGAGAGGGAGGAAGATCTACAAACACTTCATCTGACACCTGGCTGGACTTTGTCAGATTTGCCAAGCATCGTGTCAGAGCTTCTACCCAATGCTTGTTCAGTGCTGTAATTAAAACTTAAAATAAATACTTAAGTTCACAAAACTATTTTTTTTAGAGAGGAACACTTCTATTTTTAAGAGATACTAGCTGTAACCCGCTTACCAACGTAACGGGGCTGTGTTTAACTTCTTAATTTTCAAGATGATCTCGTTCGCATGGCTCAATCACGTCCTGGTTGAAGTTCGTTCGCTACGCTCACTCACCTTTAGGTTGGAGATCGTTCGCTACGCTCACTCACCTTTAGGTTGGAGCTCGTTCGCTGCGCTCACATGCCTTCAGGTTACCTCGTTCGCTACGCTCACTTGCCTTCAGGTTAGCTCGTTCACTACGCTAACTCGCCTCCAGGTTGAAGTTCGTTCGCTATGCTCACTCACCTTTTGGTTGCAAATTAGCTGTTGTCATAAATGTAAAAGAAATGATAGTGCTGCACCCTGTTGGTAATCCTTGTAACTTTAATGCTATTGAACATCATAGAACAGAACCAACTTGTTTAATTGAAACAGCTGTTAAGATTCATTAATTCCATTTCTCATAAGGTTAACATGGGAAACTCAAGAGCCACTGGGGCGGAGCCGATTGGACGGATCACGAAATTGAAGGTGTATAAACCTATTCCATGAAATTCTACACATACGTACCAAGTTTCGTGGCAATTGGTTCAGCGGTGTCTGAGTTTATCACTGCCAAATATATATATATATATGTATACAAACATCCTCTTTTATACTTATAGATCAGCAATTTGGCATATACTTTCTTCCATTACCTTGAACAGCCTTTATCTGGGTAAGCAGTAGGAATAAACTTTTGAGGAAAATCACAATAGTTGCATCATTGAACTGCAGTTTTTACATTATTGGGGGCTGTAAAATTTTGTTTAAAGTTACAAGTGCCATAGCATACTAAATCTATCCATCTATCTATATCATTAATACGCTACATGAAACTTTGTGAACAATAAGGCTTTTTTGTTTTAAGATTTAACCCCACATATTATATACCAAAGATGTTCGTCTAGGTGTGTAGATTTGCAAACTGACCTTACATTTTTGAAAAAGTCCCTTTGGCTCTGTCAAAGGGGCTTTTAAAGTTCCCATGTTATCCTTGTGAAGAACATATTTGTTTACATTATGATCAGCTGGATAATTTAATTGCTGTTAATATTTTAGTTGCAATTTAACACATTCACTGCGTGTATTAAACCCATTAAATCAGAATTGATCATGATAGAATAATCTAGGTTAGGTAAAAGTATTTTATTAGTATCAATCAACTCCAAGTAAACAAAAACAATTAACACATGATAATAAACTAAAATGACAATAGTCAGTAGAGCCAACCATTACATCTCCCTCTTTAAAGGTTGAGTTTCTGGGGAGGTTTTATAAGTCGTCTTGATCGGGTTGTTATGTTAGCAGAAGACCTTCCAGAGGTGTTTGGAGGAACCGTTGAAAAGTTTGGCATGTCTTCATGATGATCCATCGGACCTCTTGTTAATGGTTGACTGTTACGGTTATCTGTTGAAAAGTTTGTTAAGCACATACCGTTGTCTTCCTCAGATCGATGATCCTTCTGACTACTTGTTGATGGTTGATGGTTGTGGCAATGATCCTTCTGACTATTTGTTGATGCTTGATGGTTGTGGTAACTTTCCTTTTGAATGTTTGGCATTGGTTGTAAGTGAAACCGGTTTCTTCGAACTATGGTTCCTTTGTCCGTCAGTACTTTATAAGATCGTGGTGAGTTTAACTTTTCTACAACTTTTCCTTCACGTTTCAAATCAGATATCCAAACTTTGGTTCCTGGGTTCATATCTGATAAGGGTCGAGCACCATGTCGTCGATCGTAATTTCGTTTGTAATTTTGTCTATAATGATTCTCCTTCTCTCGGAGATGACTGAAGTCTGGCTTGTTCTCCAGATGACATGGTAAGGTAGGCAAATTGTCCCGTAGTCTGCGTCCGTATAATAACTGTGCTGGACTGTAACCGTTGGCCAGTGGAGAGTTCCTGTAAGACAACAAAGCTAAATATGGATCTCCTTTGTTCTTCTTTAGAACAGCTTTTGCAATTTTTACAGCTGCTTCGGCTGAGCCATTGCTCTGATGAAACTGAGGACTGCTTGTTTTGCATAAAAAGTTGTACTCTTTGGCAAATTTTCTGAATTCTGCACTAGTGATGCCAAACTGCGTTCCACTATCTGAGTATAAAACTTCAGGAATACCGTGGCGAGAAAACGTTGACTTGCATTTCTCAATAACTTCAGATGCAGTGAGCGATTGTAGAGTTGCAATCTCAAAATATCTCGAGAACTGATCTGTTATAACAATGAACCATTTGCCATTAAGCTTGAACAAATCCATTGCTGCCTTTTCCCATGGACGTTTTGGAAACTCGGAAGGAATGAGCGGCTCATTTCGATTTTCTCTGTGTTTGATGCATGTTGGGCATGAAGCTACCATCATATTTATATCTGATGCCATTCCTGGCCACCATAAACTGAATCTAGCCTTTTCTCGACATTTGGTGGCTCCTAGATGACCGACGTGTATTCTATGAAGCATTTCTTGACAAAGACTTGATGGTACTATTATTCTAGAATTGCGTAAAAGTAAGTTGTCCATCAGTGATATCTCATCTTTAACCGAGAAGTAGGGGACTAGTTGAGATGGAAGTTGTGATTTTTCTGGCCATCCAGTATGACAGTATACTGCAATCTTTCTGAAGATGGGATCTGCTTGCTGAGCTTCCCGTAACCTGTTTATGTTTTCATCAGTCGTAGGTATGTTTTCAACCACATTTTGAACAAAAGCTTCAATTTCTTCTTCCATGTCATATGTTTCCTTGCTTGGAATGGGGCATCTTGAAAGACAGTCTGCTGGTGCAAGGTGTTTTCCAGGCGTATATGTCACTGAATATGAGAATCTCATCATGCGAAGCCTCATTCGCTCTAAGCGAGGTGTAATGTCATCCAAATTCTTAGATGATAAGATTTTTACAATGTGGCATAATGGTGCCACATTTTGGTGACCTGGTCATGTGAATTAAATTCCAGACCAAATCGTTCTTGTTGGAAACGTTAACTGAACACATTTATTGATGCAGAGGAGACAATTTACCGCAAATCACAGGCCCTAATAGCCAGCTTTGATGATTGTTTCATTAATTAATGCATTTATATCACAGAAATATGTACATTGTTCAACTTATGAAATAATTACTGTATGAGTTGACTGGACACAACGTGAACTAATATTTTATTTAATGATGAATTACTAATAATGGAAAGAATGTTATAGTGAATTGATACCATGATCTGAAATTACATATTATCAATAATTAGTCCTACGACACAATACCTTAAGGGGGCGTCCCCCCATTTCCCAAGAACTTAGCCTTCCATGGTGTTTGCAGTCAGGAGCACGACACACGACAGACGTTTTTCACTCGTCTTACCCGCTTGCCTCCTTGCGCATGCGCGAGCAGCGGTAGGGGTTGAGATTGGCGGGACATTCAAACAGTGTTGTGGAGATTGACTCCACAAGATCTCCCCCCCTCCCCCGAGCAGCAAAAACGGAAGAAAGGGTGACCTCCATGGTTGGGGTGTCACGTTGGTCCATTAAAAAAAAATATATATGCTGTTGAACACTGGTAAATTAATATAACATATAACAACAGTAAATATACAATAAATAGTAACAAATAACTAATAAATATATTACACAAATATCTGAAACATGAAATATAATATACGAATTCTGGTAACTGGTGTAATGTTGTGTGAGTGTATGTGTGAAAGTGTAAGAGCTCTTGCCTTCCTCCCTCCACAAGTCACAGTTTGCAGGTTCGAGCTGTTGAAATTAAAAAAATTAAAATAAAGGTTATGGCTCGACCGCAAATTTCAAAAAATATAAAAAATTAGCTAACCTGTGACTGTGTCAGGGGGTTGGCGTGTGGGTGTAAGTGTAAGTGTGAGGCTATCGGGGCGAGCGACACACTGGCGACCGCTACTGTAGATGACACCTCAGAGAAGTGACACCCTAGACTCAGTGCGCTTCGCCAGTGTGGATGCCGGCGACAGGTGTTAAGTGTGGTGTGAGGGTGGTGGTCTTACAAACTAACTAACCTAATATCACTGGTGCCTGTGTGCGGTTTCATTTAGATACGTGTGCAATGCGGTTTTTGTTTTGGTCGTGTGTTTCAATTTTTTGGATGAAAAAAGGATTTCAATTGAGAGACATGAGCTCTCCTAACTGTTTTCCCTGACTTTGGGTCTACCAAAATTACAGTTACTGGTGAAGTGAAGGCTTGAATTATTAGGGGTTCGGACCAAACTGGTAAAAGTTTAGCATTCACTTTGTTCACTGCGCTACTTTGATGATTTAATCGATACATCACCCAATCACCTACTTTATATTCAACTGGTTGGCGTCCTTTGTTGTATTGATTTGTTCTGGTTTCTCTGGCTTTTCTGAGGTTGCTGTGTGCCTGTGCCCATGTGTGTCTGATATCTATTGGTTGGTCCGGAATGAGACGGTCTAAATTCCAATTTAGTTCAAGGGGGTGATTGATTTGATAGCCTAGGAACAATTCTGCTGGTGAGAAACCGGTGCTGTTGTGTTTGGCTGAGTTTAGAGCAATTTGGAAAAAGTGAAGGTTTGTGTCCCATTGTGCTTGATTTTGAGAGTGATAGATTCTGATGGCTATTTTTATGTTTTTGTTTACACGTTCGGCATGACTGGGATTTGGATAGTAAGGTGTTGTTGTGATGTGTTTAATTCCGAATTCTAGGCACATGTCAGAAAAATCTTTTGACTGAAAGGGGGATGCGTTGTCTGATACTAAAAATTTGGGGAAGGCAAAATAGGCAAAAACTCCTGTTTTTAATAGTGATATGGTGGTTTTGGCTGTTGAATTGCGGGCTGGTAAAAATATTGCAAATTTAGAGAATGCGTCAACAACTGTGAGAATGTATTTGTTTCCTTTTACTGATCTGGGTAACGG